TACATGGGGCTTTCTCTGAAGAGACTCCAGAGACTGCAACAGGTTCAGAATGCTGCAGCACAAGCAATCTTGAGAGTTTTATGGCACTCATATAAGATCACTTCCCCATTAACTGTACTGACTTCCAATGAGTTTCAGCATGTGATTCAAAGTCCTCGTTATCACTTACAAAGCCCCATGTGGTAAAGAGCCAGGCTATTTGTGGGAAGGCACCTATTCCCAATTATTTTTGGTCACTCCACCAGAACTAACAGGGAGGGCATCCAGCATGACTCTTTTATCGTGGAGTGTCATCTTGCTAGACCCCATAGGCATAATCTCTTTGTTGTATCATCTGCTCTATGGAACAGCATCCCACCAGAGATTTGAATGGCTTTGACCTTGTTGGCCTTTTTCAAGGCCATTAAAGATCTGGCTGTTCCTGCAGGCATCTGGGCTGGAAAGTTAAGCGGGCTCTGCTGGTTGATCTGGTTGGCTGTTGTTTTACTGCTTGTGAACTGGAATTATTTTTAGATCTCAGAGATACACTATCTTGAGTATTCAAGTTGTTTTTATTTTTACTGCTTTTGGTTTTAATCCTTTGTACACTGCCCAGAGCAATTGCTATGAGATGGGTAGCCATTAGATTACTCAAATTAATAAGCGAGTGGATAACCTTGATCCTAGTTAATACCGGCCCGGGAAAATAAACTTTTAAGGGGAGGCAGATCTCAGGAGCAAATGTTAAAAAATTGCTTTCAGAGAGAATGGAAGGGAGGGAGAAGGAAAATTATAAAAAAAATTATAAAAAGTAAGGAAGGAGAGCTTTTGTGGCAAAAAAATGGAAACTTGTTTGGAAGAGGAAAAATGTTCTTTATTTCTTTGAAGGAAAGATCCAGACACCATTATATCTGATAGGCTGGACCGTGGATCCATCTGATCAATAGCTCTAGGGGGCAAGCAAGAATAGGAGACTGGCAGAGTAGAAGTCAGGATAGAAGCAAGGAACTGTAATATCCTTTTGTGCTGTATGAGATCCTAGTTTCCTTTCAATCTGAACAGCCTGGCAAGATTTAACAGAATTTACATGACAAATAAGCACAGATTTAATATATGAATCAAATTTATATACCGCCCATCTCATTAATGACTCTTTAAAAACAACAATAGGTAAACCACGAATACTTTCTGCTTTCCATCACTGTTTCCTACTCTGTCAGAATTGTATCTTCAAAAAATCAGACCTCCCTTACAGTTTCAGTAGGCCTGACATTTGCTTTCTACAGATTTCTAAGTGATCCTTCTCTGCTCTGTTTTAAGGGAAGACCTTTGAGTCTTCCCATGGCCGTCCCATGTTCTTTTTCAACTTCTTCCATGTACTTCTCTATTCATGAGATTCTTCTTCTGGGATTGCTCTCTCCTCTTATTATTCAAGGAATCTGTTTCTTCCCTGATTCTGATGCTTCTAGCTAGGTGTGTCCTGTCCATCTAAGATACCATGCACACATACATTTACCAGAAAACAACTGACATTAAACACAAACCAGACAGGTCAGGGGGTCAATACAATTGTTAAAGAAGTGGAGGGGAATGCACTGATGCAAAATCAACATGATTTTTCTATGCAGAATTTATCTAATAGATCTTGGATTTTTAATTCCCACCTCAATCATTTATATGAATTCACCGTTATCATCTGACACTGTTACATGCCACTCCTAGTTTATATTGCAGGTAATCCTTCAGTTATGACAGCAGTTGGGACCGGCACTAAGAGATGCAAATACAAAGCGCAATGTCGCATGACTTTAGGCTTAGATAATTCTTAGCAATGTCTTAGCCATCCAGGCAGTTGCGAACATCATAAGCCTAAGGTGTGTGGGTAGTTAAGTGGGCACTGCTAGGACTCCCAGGTGAGGAACAAGGGGGGTGTCACAGGGGGGTTGGGAGGCCTTGAAGACGACATGCAAGTTGAGGGAAAGGGTGCTGTGGTGCAGTGTGAAAGCACAGGGAGGCAGAGAGAAGGCAGGAGTAAATTTGTGCGAGTGGCAGAAGGCCAAGGGAAGAAGCGTGCAGGTTGGCATGAGTATAGGGAAGCTAAACAAAGGAAGGAGCGGGTTGGTGGAAGTGCCCAGAGCTGAGGGAAGGAGGGCACAACATGGTGCACAAGAAGGCCAGGGGAGTACATAACAGAGTGTTTTGCAACCTTCTCTGCTGGCTTCTCCAGCAACTTTGCTTTTGGGAAGCTCATAGAGGAGGTCTCAAATGGTGATCACATGACCACAAGATGCTGCAACTGTCTTAAGTGTGAGCTATTGGCAAATGCCTGAATCACAATCTATGATCATGGGAGTACTGTGACAGCCAGATCTTTGAGAACTGGTCATAAATACTACTTGCTCGGCACCACTGCAACTTTGACAATTGCTGAACAAGTGATTGGTAAGCGAGGACTACCTATACAGT